ATATATATATATATATATATATATATATATATATATATATATACTAAATAAATATTAATTTATTAATTAAATAATAAATTTTAAATTTATTAATATAAACTAAATAAATAGTAATTTATCAAAAATATAAACAACTTGATTAAAATTTTATATATTAGTATTAACGAATGACACACAATAAAAAATTTAGCAAAGAAAAGTTTCTAATCTCATTCTTTTTGAAATTGCAGCGACTGAAACAGGAGCAAAGGGCTTTGCAAAGTTAATAGAATTTCTAATATGTGGCGCCCATATTGTGACATATTTCGATCTAGAATAAAAGTAAAAAATAAAGCATAAAAGCGAGAATAAAAATGGAAAATGAATGACTTTCGGTGGAACGTTTTACATAAAATATTCTTTCATGTGTTCTATGTTCTTTCGCCTTAAATCAAAATTGTACACATTAATTGATTAAAATTTTCTTTAGCTAAAGTAATTGGCAAACATAATAGTCATAATTAATCAATCGTTATACATCTAATGATTTAATCCTTTAATAAAATTAATTACTGATCATTGTATAATCAATTATGTTAACACTGAATATGTTCATTATATGTGCATTATAGAATATAAATACAGCATTTTAAAAAGTAATTATATTTGCAGAAATTTCCAGGGAGAAATGACTCGTCGATCGACAAGTCATTTCTCGCTAGAAATATTGATACCTAACCTTCCAATTTTAGTTGTAGGAAGTGTACGTCTATAATAAATATAATTATTATATGTATAATAAATATAACTAATAAATATAAATTTATATAGATCACATAAGCTACATCATTTATAAGAAGAAAGAGTTGACCCTTGATAATAAAAGATCTTTTATCCTTGAGTGAACTTTTACTTTCATTTTTTACTTTAATCGACTCAGTTATCCGGTGCTTATATTTTTTAGAAACTTAAAAAAATGTGAAAAAATGATGCAAAATTTATTCTTCTCTGATTAATACCTGATCTATAATATACTTTTCAAAATTGACTATTGTTTCGGATGTCCGGGGTAGTCTAACTTCTTAATACACAAGTTACAATATTTCAAATACGGTGTAAGGCGATGATGTTAACATGAACTCGGTGCAAAGAGATATAAATTCAATTGTGCTACGCTTTCGAATAGTAGAACATACTAAGGCCTACGCCCTTCCAATTTTCAAGAATTATGGCTCTAAATAATTTTAACCCAAAAATATTCAAAGTAAATATTTCGGAAATACTTCGAAGTTAGCTATAAGAATTTTGACCGGGAAGTAAACACCAAAAATTACAAAATTTTACACATTATACATACGTCCACTCTTATATTGTTTGACGTTATTTACAGCTATATATTTTAAAAAGTATTTTTCGCAATTTATCCTTTTCCTTGTGAAAGATCTAATAATCTGAATAATCGTTGTAGACGGTATGAAAACAAGATCTATAATTCAGTTTAGAAATAGAGTATCGCAAGTGTTTCTTATAAATGTGGACTTCTTTGTGTGAATTTATGGCGCCCTTTGCAAATGATTAAACATCTTACGTAAAATTATTCTTTATTGTTGCTTCTTATCATCACTTAAGTAACTATCATCAGTTCTCATTTGTACATCTGGTTTATTTAGTGTAAATTTGGGGTAATGAAACAAAATGTTCAAACGTAAAAAAATGAGATTAGATAACATTTAGAGGCACCTATAAAAGCGAGCTGGTAGTTCTAATGTACCAAAGTGTTCACCACAATTGCTATCTGGACTCCAAGTGAATCGTCTAAGAAGCCACCATGAGAACCGTTGCTATAATTTTAAGTATAGTAATCGCGTTGGTGAGTGCCAAGCAACGCGTAATTCGTATTTCGAGGCAATTAATTCTCTCAAATTTTAGAACGTTGTCTACGGTAACGAGGAAGATTTACGGAAATACAGAAAATTCTATACAGACTGCTCCCGAAAGTTCAATCTACCAAGTAGTGAGTATTACAATCGGAAACATTCGGAAGGAGATAATTTGGAAAATAATATTATCTCAGCAATAGTAATAACATTCTAAAGAGAAGGGTGGAAAAGTTTCCTTAAAACAATTCTATGTTAATATTCTTGTAAAAATTAAAAACTTCTTGTAAAGCTTGTAAAACTAAATTTTTCACTTTTTCTTCTTCTCAGGTGAGGTTCGAATCGACACGGCCTTATGCGCGGCTCACCAATCTAAAGTACGTATATCTCAGTCAGTCAAGAATTTCGATTCTTTGAATTCGATGTCTACTTTGAGTTTAATGCATTATCTCAATAAGTTATTCAACTTATTAAAGTAGTAGCTATCATTATTTATAAACGCTAACGTAAACTTCCATTCTGATATTTGAGGTTTCCGCCTCAAATGTTCGGTCAAGCTTTCGTGTCAATGCTATTTCCTTCACGGATTTGTTTTCAATGTATCATAAATATTTGAAAAAGTTAATTTTTGTAAATCAGCTTAATAAAATTAAAATAAAATTAATTAGCGAAAACATTATATGTAAAATAAAACAATTAGATCTTCTAATGCATTTCATGAATAAAATTAAACAACATTTCGGTTCAGATTATTTCTCTTTTTGAAGAAGCAAATTGAAATGTTCACAAAATAGTGGGAACAAATTCACGAAGGACACAGTACTAGATTGAAAACCAAGCCGAATAAACTACTGTTGTAAAAAGTAGTCGGTTTACCATCAAAAACGCATCAAGATTGAACGAAATTTTCAATAAATTTATAACTAAAAAATTATACATTAAAAATATATTTTAGTAATATGTAACGTAAATATAATACGCTTTCTTCTGCAATTAAAGAATTGAATTGTATGTTCTACGTTGGAAAATAATAAAGAGGTAATGTTATATTATAATAAAACCAAGAATATTTCGTTAAAAAATTTTAACAAATGTCTTAATCTAATAATATAAGGAAACGCTACAAATATTAAAAAAGTGCTGGGTAAATTTCAAATAATTTTGGAATATAATAACATAATATTACACATCACGGGATTATCTCTTTCAGTTTCTAGACCCAACTGGCGCTTACTATCCTGAAATGAGTAAAGATGCAATTAAATTATTAATTTACGCCGACCCGGAGAAATTGGAAAAAGCAATGGAAATATATAACAAATGCGATAAGGAAGGTAATCAATTATAAATATTATAAATATGCTTATCAAGACACAATAAATTTTAATTACTACTTGTCAAAAATCACAATTATAAAATATAAGTACAGATATTAAACATCTGACAAAGTGTTCAATACAAAAAAAAAAAAAAATATATATATATATATATATACTAATATATATATTAATACATAAATATTTTTATAATTAACTAAAAATAAAATTAAAGTGTTTGATTCTATATATTAATAGTAATGAATGGCACGCGATAAAAAATTACGTACTGTCTGTAAAAGATAAATTTCTCACTTATCTCTATTTTATATTTGCAGCGACGCTATCAAAAGAGGTCGGTATTTGGAAGTCAATGATGTTTCTAGCTTGTGGCTTGGATCTTATAAAACTTATCGGACATTTCATTGAACCGTAAAGTTTACTTAACTTATAAGATTTTCCACGTTACTGTAAAAATAAAGAATAAATGTGACAGTAAAAGTAAAGAAGGCATTATTTCAAGTAAAACATTTTACGTGAAAAAAATGTCCTTTAATGTTTATTCTCTCGAATTTTCTACGTGTTCTTTTTTTCAAGTTTTCTCTATTGAATTGTGTCATCACGCTAAACTTTTAATAAAATCTAAGTAACCTGAAAAAACTTCTGTGTGTAAATAATTCGGCTAAAGAAAAGAAAGAGGAATAATCGCCCAAAGAAATATCGTGAGGGAAAATCTTACTTCCGCAATGCCTTAAAGCAGTATTGGACATTAATCAATTAAAATTATCTTTGACTGATCGGCAAATACTCAAAGAAGTCTTAAAGTATCTAAGGAGCTAGAATAAAATAATATTCACTTCTAGCCGTCACGGTAAGTATGATGCAAATTCATCAAATATCAGAATACTCATGACACTGCGATGATACAAGATAAATTTGTAAATTATATGTCTTTCTCAATAGTCTAAACGTTTTAAAAATATTATCTGATGCTATCCAGAGATGCGTTCCAGAGATCTCTTAACATCGCTTCGATTATTAAGAAATCACATTAAGACTTCTTGTACTTCGCTGGCCATGTCGAATTTATGATGTCAGAAGCGAGAAGTGATATATATGTTGAAAAAAGTCGTGTGTCATTACTGAATAAAGATACATATGAACAAAAAAGCATTTGAAATACTTATAAAATTGTCCAAAAAGTATCCTTTTCCCCTAATAATCTATAAATAAATGGTGAAATGATGAAATGAGTATTTTATATGCCTCATTTCGCCATTTATTATATGAATATTTATTCAGACAAACTATTTAGGCAGAAAGTCAAACCAAACATTTTTAGAAATCCAATATTGAAAACACGTGACCTACTTTAAATTAAAAGAAAAACCATCTACTTCAGTTTGTTATAAGAAACGGAACGATAAGTTATATAATCACAGACACAAGAATGACTCATTAAAACACTATAGCAAGTATTAAATAAAGGAAAATGTTTACGTATGCGGAAGTAATGCCTCACAACTGAAATAATTCCATACACCTTAAGTGTCTTGAAAACTAGATATTATCGGAAGCATGATATTTTGAACACATACAAGTGGCGGCGTTCCAAATGTGATGCTGACAAAAAGAGATATAAATCCGATCATACTACCTTCACACCTAATGCAAGGTCATGTTAGCGTCTACAGTGTTTCAACTTTCGAGACTGATAAATGATATTGACACGTAAAGATTCATAGCAAATATTTCGGAGACATTTCAAAGTCAATCATAAGAATTTTGACGGAAAAATATACGCCAAAAATTACGAAAATCACGATTTGAATTATGCATACCTACGCTCCTATTGTTTTATTTATACCTCTTCAGTGGCGTAGCCAGGGGGGCTAAGGAGGCTGCAGCCTCTATCAAAATTAATTTTCTAGATTATACTAAGTGTGAGAAAAATTTTTTCGAATGACCTTTTTTTGCTTGTCAAAAATTAAAAATACAGTCCCCCTCGAAACTTTTTTCTGGCTACGCCACTGCACCCCTTTATTTGCATTTTAAGCAATATTACTCGTCACTTATCGTTTTGCGTTATGGAAAATCTAGTAATTTGAATAATCGTTCAAGTCCGTGAGAAAAAACAAGTACTATAATTCAGTCTAGGAAAATCAGTATTACAAATATTTTTCACACTTGCGTAAGACTGTTTCTCTTGCGAACGATTAAACGCCGCAAATAGAATCATTATTTTCTTGCTGCGCCATTATCACATCATTAATGTCACTATCACTGGCTCGTGGCATTAATGTAAATCAGATATCAGATGGAACGGAACAAACTATAATTTAAATATTTATTAATGTTATATAAAAGCGCAGTGACAGTTTCAATGTATCTCAGTGTTCACGCGTGTTGCAGTTACTGCCTGGAAACTGAAATCGAGTAGCTTGAGGAGTCAGAATGAAAGCCGCTGTGATTACTTTAAGCGGGCTAATCGCGGTGGTGAGTACCATGCAACTAATAACTGTATTTTAGTGTAGTTAATTATCTCGGATTTTAGAACGTGGTTTATTGTGATATGGAAAATGCACGACAAAGATTCAGACAGGGCTATGAAACATGCGCCCGAAAGATGGGTGTACCAAGTAGTGAGTATTACAATCAAAAACGGAAGAAGATAATTAGAAAAATAATATTATCTTCGCGGTAATAATAACTTTCCAAAGAGGAAAATAGTTTCCTTAAAAGAATTTGATGTTAATGTCCTTCTAAACTGGAATTCTCTTTTTCTTTCTTTTCAGATGAGGCACGAATCGACACGGTGCTATGCGCGGCGGTTGAAAGCGGTGAGGTACGTGTATTACAATCAATGGAAGCATTTCGATTCTATTCTTGATGTACAAATTAAATTTAAAGTACAATAAACAGACAAACTATTTATCTATCAAATAATCGCTGTTTAGAATCATTAATCTCTATTCTAAAATTTGAAACTTTTGTGGTGAACAAATGTTCATGAATGTTCGTAAACTGTTCATAAAATGTTTATGAACTGTTCATGAAATGTTCATGAACAAATGTTCGGTTAGACTTCCGAATTAATTGCGGACTTGTTTTTCAAATTTTCGTGAATATTTCGAGTCAGATGATTCCTCTGATTGAAAAAGAAAATTGAAATATTCACGAAATATCGGAAACAAATCTACGGACGCAGCATTAAACTGAGAATAGAAATGTGTGAATTATTCGAATTCGAATCAAATCAAGTGAAATTCGACTCGATTCAATCCCTATGATTCGAATTCGAATAATTCGAAAATTTCGAATCGAAAAGTTTCAAATACGAATCGCATTAGCATTAACGAAGTACTATTAAATACATCCACCCTTACGAGAATTAGCATGACTTAAAAAGTTTACATTTTCATACATTAAAATTTTCTTTAAAAATATTAAAAGAAGATAATGACTTTTAGATAAACTCTTACCGACAACTGTCGGATCGATATATGTCGTTGCTTTCAAGGCTAGAACTGTATTCCATACACGTTTACCGACTATATATTATATATTTCTTACCTTAAAATGAATTGATATCACATGATCAATGTTATTTCTCTCATATTGAAGTCACTATTTTCATGTTGAATTCAATGATTATGTTAATTACAAATTCTTTCAACGACTCGATACGATTTCATTCGATTCGAATGAAATTTCATCGATTCAATTCGAATTCGAAATTAAAATCTGAGATTCGATTAGATTCAATTCGACATAAAAAATCTTTAATTCGCACATCTCTGATTGAAAATCAAATCGAATAAATCTATATTGTAAAAAATGATTTGGGTGTAATAACGTGACATCACATCATTACCGTTTGCAGATTCTGTTTTCAAATGGTGCATACAGTCCGGAAAGAGCTTTAGGAATAATTGAAGCGATGATTTCTGACCCAGTTAAATTACAACAAGCGTATGATATATACTTCAAATGTGACAGAGAAGGTAATCAATTTTACTGAGATCTGTCGTTTCTTATCACTTCGGGACGTATTTGATATTAATTTTTAATTCTTAATTCAAAATTATTCTCTAAAATTTATTAAGAAAAATCTAAATTAAAATACCTCTAGATATTGAGGACGATTTTAGTGGTCCACTCAAAAAAATGTGGTATACGATCCGTAAAGTTTGTTTATGCGAATGTGTGCGTCTCAGACACCCATATTGTAGTCACTTCTCGGCGGAACTTTGCCATAGCAAAAAGAAGTGATATTCGTGTGTCTATATACTGCAAATCTGAGTGTGTTATTCTTAAACGCATAAATATGTAGTTGGCTAAAACTCTTCTTATACATCTTTTGCGGTTTTAAATGACATTTAACATATAATGTATAAATTAGAATTTTATACATTTGAGCGTATTAAATAATATGATTTAAGGCGATAAAAAATATATAAAAATAGATTCAGCCAATTATACATTTATGTGTTTAAAAATAACACTCGGATTTGCAGTGTATGCTGTGTGTGTATGTGTGTGAACCTTGTAAGTAATTGATAATATATTTATCATAAATATTTGCTTCTTTTACACTTTAAATTAATTTATTTGTAATTATGTTGAGTTATTTGTTCACACATTCAGATTAGCTTAACTCTACATATTAAATATTATACTTAAACAAGAATTATCTTAAACATAGCTTGATTAAAATCTCATATATTAATGTTAATGAATAACATACGATAAAAAATTACGTGGTATATCTGAAAAAGACCAGTTTTTTATTCATCTTTTTTATCATCTTCTTTTTATCATTGCAGCGGTTCAAGCAGGAGCTGTGGGCATTGGGAAGTCTATGCGATTTCTACTGTGCGGTTCATCGCTTATATCACTTTTCCTTGATTCGTAATAATGCGTATCTTTTATAATAAAACATTAAAAATAAAAAATGAAAGTTAAAATTGGAGAATAGATTACTTTCAGTAAGATATCTTACATAAAACGTTCCTTTGTATATATTCGAACAAATTTTCGATGTAGCTCTTCTCTCTTGACTTCTTTATTGAATTATATCAACGTATCAACTAATCAATCAATAAAATACAACCTAAACCTGAAGAAACGTTCCTATGCCCAAAAAAGTTCCACTAAAAAAAAGAATGTTCGATATATATGTCCCCTTTTATTTGCCTATATCGATTCTTTGTATTGCACATTAAAATAAATTAGATTCAATTACGATATTCATATTATTAAAAATTTATGTTGCTAAATTATTAATAAACACACATTCGCAACTTGAATACGCTACAGTATAGTATAGAAACACTTTCCGCACTGCTATTGTGATATCTTAAGATACTTAAGAAGCTAGAAGAATGAATATAGTCGTGCTAATCTTTATTCTGTTATTTCGATCTAAATTATGCATACGTATAATCCTATACGCATCCTATTGTTTTATTTACATCCGCATATGTTAGCAGTATTGCTCGCACATTATCGCTTTGCGACTTATGATAAATGTAGTAATCTAAACAATCGTTTAGAATGATGTGAAAAAGCAAGTATAATCTAAAAAAGTTAGTGTATCATATTTTTTTACACATGGACTTACATGAAACTGCGTTTCGCTCTTGCGAATGATAAAACACCGTACGATTAAACACCGTGAGTTGAGTTTAATGCACATTATAATCGTCAATATAAATCTCTATTCTGAAACTTTCGCGGTATGAACAAATATTCGGCCAGGCTTCTAAATTAATCCGTGGACTTAATGGCATAGACTTGTTTTTCAATTTTTCGTGAATATATTTCAGTTTAGATTGCTCCGCTCTTTGAAAGAAACGAATTGAATTATTCACGAAACACCGGAAACAATTCCACGAAGAACACGGCATTAAACCAGAAGCCAAACCGAATTAATCTATACTGTAAAAAAGTGGTTAACGTCAAGAAACATCTCAAGTATCATATAGTGATACTTTTCTGCTTCATCATCATCGATACTCGCTAGTTCGCATTCATGTAAATCAGATGATATAAGTTGAAACGCAATTAGTAACGCAACAAACGCACGTGTTTAAATCACTAATGATTTTCCTATAAAAGCGCGATGACAGTTTCAATGTATTACAGTGTTCAGGCGTGTTGCCAGATTGATATCTGGAAACTGCAATCGGATAGACTGAAAAGTCAGAATGAAAATCATCGTGATAATTTTAAGCGTGCTAATCGCGATGGTGAGTACCGTGCAACCAATAACGCGTATTTCAGTGCAATTCATTCTCTCGGGTTTTAGAATGTCGTCTACTGCAACTTGGAAGACTTACAAAAATACAAACGAGGTTATGAGGCATGCGCCCGAAGAATCGGTGTACCACCTAGTGAGTATTACAATCGGAAAATTTCAGAAGAAGATAATTTAAAAAATAATATTATTTTCGGAGTAATAATATATAACTTTCTAAAGAGGAAACTCTTTAATAAAATAATTTCCTTAAAACAATTTTATATATTAATGTCCTTCTAAACTGAAATTCTTTTTTTCTCTCTTTTCAGATGAGGTACGAATTGACACGGCGTTATGCGCGGCAATTGCAAATGGTGAGGTATGTATATCACACGATCAATCAAAGAGTTTCTATTCTATTTTATATGTACTTGAGTTTAATGCACATTATAATCGTCAATGTAAATCTCTATTCTGAAATTTGAACTTTCGCGATATGAACAAATATTCGGCCAAGCTTCCAAATTAATCCGTGGACTTAATGGCATGGACTTGTTTTTCAATTTTTCGTGAATATATTTCAGTTTAGATTGCTCCACTCTTTGAAAGAAGCGAATTGAAATATTCACGAAACACCGGAAACAATTCCACGAAGGACACAGCACTAAACCAGAAGCCAAACCGAATTAATCTATACTGTAAAAAAGTGGTTAACTTCAAGAAACATCTTAAAATCAAACGTAACAGTGCTCGACTAATTTATAACTAAAATTATATAGTATACATATTAGTAAAAATATATTATACTATCCACACAGCACAAAATATCTCAGCAATGTCTTCAGAATATTACAAATATTATTTTTAAAATATTACATTTGAGATATTCTTGGGATATTGTACAGATTTGAAATAGAATATTTCGTATGAAATATTTTAAGAATATTCCATTTGAAACATTTCATTTGTGATGTTTCTGAAATATTCTGGAGATTTGTCATTGTAAATATCTCAGAATATCTAAAATAGAATATTATAGAAATATTCCATTTGAAATATCATCATTTGCGAAGTTTTTGAAATATTTTGGAAATCTGTCGCAAGAAATATATTAAGAATACCTCAAATTGAATATTTTAGAAATATTTTACTTAAAACATCTATTGTACAAATTTCCATTGTATGTACATTCAAAGATTTCTTGACTTGAAGAAGTCAGTTAATCGTTAACACTCAAATTTAGGTGTTTATCCCCAATTTTTGGGTGTTTGCATCTACAATTGAATGTTTTTTGTAAAGGTATACTAATAATAATAATGAACACAAGTAATTAAAATAAATAATAATTATTTATTGTTATAATGTGCGTGTGCGTGTGCATGTGTGTGTGTGTGTGTGTGTCCATTATATATTAGGACCTTAACTTAGTTTCCGCCCAAAAAATACTGAGAAAAAGCATTTATTGTAAAAAATTTATTTAAATTATTTCAATGAAAGTATTTTCCATCACTTTCTACAACTTTTTGCCATCTTTCTGGCAACTGGGCGATACCATCTCGATAAAACGATGTTTGTTTCGAAGCAATCCATTCGTCCACCCATTCTCGCACTTCTTCAACATTTCGGAAGCGTGTACCACTCAAGCCGTGCTGCATCGATCTGAACAAGTGGTAATCAGAAGGCGCTATGTCTGGTGAGTACGCT